AAAAAAAAAAAAAAAACCAGAAGAAGTTCACACGGTGCCGTTCCTTGCAAGGTCTTTTACCACACTAAGGACTTTTTCACGTGACGCACCTTCCAGCGAAACACTTTTTTCAACACCTTTTGCGTACCTGACAAAAAAATGCATTATGCTGAAAACATCCTAAATCTATAATGGAACAATGTATGCAATTTTAAAACTTCTCCAAAAATTGAAGGATTCTTCCATAATCGAAGAAAAGAAAGTGTCGAAAGTGAGTTGTTTTGATACTATTACTTTCAAGTTAAGGGATATGCAGAACAATCAGAAAAAAAACTGTTCTCTCAACGAAACTACATACCCAATAACAAAAAATGTCAGCAGATCAGTAACCGTTTCTACATGTCATCATAGACGATCGCCTATCAAAAGACGAACAAAATATACCTTGCAAATATTCTAGGAGTTATTCCGGAACATTCACGGATGAGGATTGGAAAATCTCTGTTCGCCTTCTTCAATGGGACATAATCATTTTCGATAAACTGCCGGACTCCTAAACTTCCAGTAGATTTTTGGCACAAATGGATCCTTAATTCACGAAGAAGACCAGCACCTAACTTCAAAGCTGAAGTCATTCCTAAAATTGCATAAGTTTATAAGCTAAATTTGAGTTATACACAAAGAATGAAAAGTGAACTGATAATTCACTCACGAATCAGGATAAATCTGGAAGACCTAACTTCAAGTACAATGCAAAAAATACAAATTTATGACAGTGAAAAATAAATTGGAAATCTGGCCAAAAACAAACAGCAATTGTTAACATAACTATCTCTGTTATTAAATGGCAACAATGTACAACAAACATTCACAAACCAGCTAAATTTGATCAGAAGGAACTTATAAATTATTAATAATGTTGCTAGAATTTAACATCGGTCATTGAACCGCCGTTCAAAGACCCCAGAAAAAGTATATTGCCAAAGATTTCTTTCATGTTAACCCATATGCATCCTTAAACCCAAAATCGTCACTTACTTCGGTAAATATAAATGGATAAGTACCACTGGTTTCGCAGCCCTATAGGAAACTCATCACTGTTGTAATGAATCCCTTCTTTAGTCCGATTATCCACTAATATAAAGTTCATTATACTTAGGCTCAACCAAAATGATCTAGACTGCTAAACAAGAAAAAGAAAAAAAAGCAAAAAAAAAAGAGTAAAAAACAACCATGACAAGATAGTTAAACAAAAGTACGTCATAAAAACTCTTTTAGAACCCTAAAATAGAAATAGCCATAAATGCATCAGAAATCGACCTTGTCTCTCCCTCTGATAATTCCAGTAATTGTTTTCTTCTCAATTATCCCTGACACTGTCAACGTCTTAAAATCGGGTTCTCTCCTTTATCTATTCTTACAGTTGTTAAGTGACCGGTTGATGGTTTTCTAAAAACAACTCGATATTCTCCTTCAAATTTTCGATGTAAAAACAAGGATTGCCAATGTATTTCAACACAAAGTGCTGGAGTTGCTGTAATCATTCGGGCACTAAATGGCGGTTCTAGCAGTTCTCGACTGTTCAAAAATTGAAACATATAGTCAGGTTAGCAGATTTTTGTTTTCAAAATTACTAATTACGTGCCAGAAAAATAACGCGTCTCAAAGCTACACATAAACAAAAAAAGGCACTAAAAATATAATGAAAGAGCCACAAAGGGCCATACAAAATCCAGTTGATGAAAACTGAATAAGCCTAAAGAAAGGATACGGACGTAAACCGCGTAAGGAAAAATCTGCAGTGAAACATTACTGGAAACTTTTCATAAACTGAAAATGGGATAGAAAAAATATTTCAAACAAAAGTTAATAAATTACTTTTTGAATCGGATCAGCTTTCATCCTCGTTTAACAGAACGAGGACTCCATATATCAAAACAACGAGTACGACCCTTAATTAAAAACTACCTATTCGTACTGACTCATTGTAGTCAAGGGTTCGGGAAGGGTCAGCAAGAGTTCAAGCTGAAAAAAAAAAAAGCAAGTTCTAGCTTCCACCAGGATAAGCCAATGGGCACAGAAGAGTAGTCTATCAGACGCTTCCCCTGGCTACTTCTTAAAAACACTCGGAAGTTAAAATACATTTTCTAGCTAGGTATTTTAGACGCTAGCAGCTGAGCTCAGTTACGAATTTCCAGTAGCGCTCCTGTGCTGGAAAGGTACCTTCACGTTTTACTAGCTTCTCTGATAAATATCTTCTCTTTAAACAGTAAATTTCCTTCTTTTTACACGTTCGGTTTCGTCATTTTTCATGGCAATAAAACCAACAAGCTAAAAAACAATATCATTAATGCAAGTTACCATACTATAACATTGTGATTATGTCTATAATATACCAGAAACCCTTTACACCTTCAAAAATAAATTAAGGTGCAGATGGAGTAAAGAGCAACGGTGGCCTGATATGCGGGTGATACAAGTGGCTAAGAACGCCATCCAACCACTTCTCTAACAGCCATTTAAGCAACATTCCGCTTCTATAAGCTGGGTTTTCAAAAGTGACAACTCTCAAAGCGATTTATTCGATGAGTCGCTCAACAGTTTCGGAAATCCGAGAGTTGTCTTATTATGCATTTGGCGGTTCGACACTCTCCTTTCCTGGCACATTGCCTGTACGCCGCAGAATCTTTTTGGATTACTTTCATACCAGTTGGTTGTAATTTATTCGAATAGTTCGATTTTCTTTTTTTTTTTTTCTTGAAT